CAACACTTAAAGGCCTATTTCAGGTTAGCATCACAAATTTAAAGTAAGACCAGTCAGCATGGTGGAGTTGTTTTGTTTTTCAGCCACATTTAGCTATACAAGTTCAGACAGAATTGGATTTAACCAGGACTGTAGTTCATCCCTGGTGGTGCAGTGGTTAAGAGCTCAGCTGCTAACCAAAACGTCAGCAGTTCGAATTCACCAGCAGCTCCTTGGAAACCCTATAGGGCAGTTCTACTCTGTCCTATAGGGTCGCAGAGTTGGAATCGACTCGACAGCAACACATTTGGGTTTTTTCGTAGTTCATCCAAAAGAGAACTACAAAGCAAGAGAGGGAACAAGGATATTGAGGGCGTTAGGAAGGGAATGATTACAATGATTGCCCGTGGAATTTAAACTGGTTAAGGGGGAAATGATAACACAAAGGAATAAGGGACAGTGAAAAGGTGGTAGAATCTCAGCAGGGTTGAAAGACTGCTAGATTTGGAGTACTAAAGAGCATGAACTGGTAAGACAGGAAGTAGTAGTCAGAGTGGGATTTTTGAAACTGAAATTATGTTACAGGTAATGACAAGGCTTGGAGTCATGATCAGGAGAATAAATGGCTGTGACAGGGTGGAAGGCAAGATCACTGGTGGAGAGTACCGAGAAATGAGAGATCAGGGTATGAGAAGGATCCTCTCTGAGGTACTGAAATCATGCAAGAATTATGACAGAAGTAGTACTGGAAAATGTGACAGTAAGCTAGCAACTAAAATTTTTCAAAAAATGAGGAGGGGGTGACCTAGGAATCAGTAGATGACTGCAACAGAGAGAAGGAGAAGGTGGTAGATTCTGACAATGTGAGACTTAAACCTGGATGTTTTTAGGGAGGAGTAAGTAATGGTTAAGTGTTATAGCTGCTTACCAAAAGGTCGGCAGTTCAAATCCACCAGGCACTCCTTGGAAACTTTATGGGGCAGTTCTACTCTGTCCTATAGAGTCGCTATGAGTTGGAATCAACTCGACGGCATTGTGTTTGGTTTTTTGATATTTAAAGGAGAATAAGGTGCCCTGGTGGTATAGTGGTTAAAGCGCTGGGCTGCTAACCAAAAAGTCTCAGGCTCGAACCCACCAGCCACTCCACAAGAGAAAGATGTGCCAGTCTGCTTCCATATAGATTCCAGCCTTGGAAACCTTATGGGGCATTTCTACTCTGTCCTACAGGGTCGCTGTAAAAATGGAGTGGCAGAGTCATCTGACCTCCTCCAACTTCATAAGGGGGAAGGAGAGTCAAGATCAACAGCCCAAGGCTGCTTCCTATGAGGCAGAGGTCAGATATGCCTCCTCTCTCTGCCGTCTGTACCAATTCGGATACCAACTGTCCCTCCCACAGCATTCTCTACTTCTCTGTTGGGTTTGATAATTCACTGCAATGGCTACACAGAACTCACTGCCAGTATTCACGATTATGGGGTTTACCAGGGAAGTAACAGGTTACAACTCATGATCTCTCTCTCTCTCTCTCTCTTTGCTGCATCTACGAGGATCTCAGAGCAGGGATCCCGGGCCCAAAGGATGCACTCCTGGCTCTTCTTTCTTGGTGGTGGCGAGATCCTATCCTCCCACCTCTGGGATGGCTCATTTCAAGCCTAGCAGAATGGCGAAACCAATCCTTTCGCTAGGTCTCCATATGCTTTATTTGCATTGTCCCACTCAAGTACTGTGTGTGACTCACAAAGCTTATGGCTAAAAGGGCTATATCAAGTACCACAGTCACTATGAGTCTGAATCGATTCAACGGCAATGGATTTGGTTGGTTTTTTTTTTTTTTTTTT